TTTTGGAATTTACTTTTAAACGACGACAGATAGGTATAGGAAAGTACATGGGGAAGTCGAAGGGTATAAAATTCTCGTTTCATCGATGAATAGTAATACAGGGTGTTCTATTTGAAAAATTTGAAAAAAATGTCCTAGAAATTTTTGGAAATTGAAATTAATTTGTGACCACCCTGTACAAAATAAAAAATTAAAACTTGGTCTAAAAAAATCTTTGGTCTATTGGCTTTATACATTTGTAGTTTTTTAAATTCTAACGTCAAATTCGAGAGAGCACTGCATATTTTAATCGGCGTCTGAAAATGTAATATTTTTTGGTATTTCTTCTTTTTCTGCGAAAGGGGTAGGATGTTAGAAACAATATTTTGTGGGTATGCACTAGTGACCATAGAGTACCTAAAATTGGAAAAAAAGTTGGGTCATTCCATTTAAAAAAAATAAGTGATTTGCCTAATTTACTATTGGGCCACCCTGTACACAAGCAAATAATTTTGGGATATTTGGTTTTGACCACCATTGACAGGTATACTTCGAATAAATCGTTAAGATTTGCATAATAGGAGTTATAGAACTACGACAGAGGTTTGGCCAACCCTGTATAGGTTACCGTGGAATTTATTGAGAAATTAATATTAAAAAATCACAAAAAATTTTCAACTAGGTTACTTCAAATTTTTTTTAATATTAATTTCTCAAAAAATTCCAAGGTAACCAATATATTTTATTGTAAAAAACAAAACCTAAATATTTCAAAAATCCTATTTTTAGTTTTTTTCTACTCCATCTAATCAATAAATAATAATATAATTCGAGAATTGTTGTTGAGGTCTTATTTTCTCGTAAGACACTGTACAAATACATTTAAAAAAAAATCTCAAAAATTTGCACGGTAAGGTATAATAAAAAGTTCAACATTAGATAAATAAGGACTTCAACTATTAGAAAAAAAATAAATTTTAGTCATAATCAAATATTTTTTATTTAACATTGGTGGCGAAAGGGGTGGCGAAAGGACCTCCTTAAGAGGTGAGAAGAATATATCGAAAACAACAATGGACCAAGTATGGAGCCTTTCGGAACATCTGATCTTAATGTTAAATATTCTAAATTAATATTATTTATACGAACTTGTTGTTGCCTACATTTAAGATAATTTTCTATTAGAGAACACGCATTGTTTGAAAATCCCAAATATTTTAACATATAAATCAACAAATCATAGTGAATGGTGTCAAAAGCTCTACTGAAATCTAACATAACATAAAACTGTGTATTTACTCCTATCAGTGGCTCGGAAGATCTTATCAATAATGTGGAGCAAAGCAGTAGTACAACTAAAACCCTTTCGAAAGCCAGACTGAACTACAGGAAGTAGTGCGTGAGTGCTCAGGTAATATTTAATTTGTATTTCCAGAGTTCTTTCTAAAATTTTAGATAATGTAGGCAATATACTTATCGGGCGCAAGTCTTTAAATTCGGTAGGAGTTTGTTTCTTTGGCAAAACCTTAATAACTGCCTTCTTCCACATGTCTGGTACGACACCCTCAGTTATGCAAAAATGTATTATATGAGTAAGATACGGTACAATATGTCGACAACATAGTTTAATTAAATTTATATTTAACCCATCACATCCGGTTGCATTAGTTTTAATATCCCATATTATTTTATTAATAAAAAGATCATTAGTTTCTTGAAAATTAAAATTAAAATCAAACAGCTTATTGAATTTGTAAAAGTTTTTAGTTTCTTTTGAAGGTTCAGTTTGAGGAATAGACCGAATAAAAAAACTATTCACTTCATCGGGATTATTTAAATGATCTGGTATATCAGATTTTTTATCGGGTAAAAATTTATTAGATTTTAGAGTTTTCCACATGTCTCTTGGATTATTATTATTATTATTAAATTGATGAGTAAAAAATCCTTTTTTTTTTCTCTTTTAATTGACTGGAATGTAAAATTTCGTAAATCTTTTTATGATTGCAAATGAGCAGCAGATCTAGTTCGTTTATACTTTTTTAATGCTTTATCTCTTTCAGCCATCATTTGTTTTATAGGAAATGATAACCACGGTGCTTTGGGCTTAGTAACTCTTGAAGTGACAACAGGAATATGCCTATGAAACACATCATTCAAACAGTTAACTAAGTACGAAACTTTTTCGTCTATAGATTCTTGGTCATATATCCTAAAGAATGTGTTAAAGAGTTCCCGCTGAAATAACTCTTCATTAAAATTTTTAAAAGTTCTATAAGTAATAAACTTGTGCTTTACCTATATTTTATCATTTAACTTAAAGTCACAATACACCATAGAGTGGTCTGAGATTACTTTCGGTATAACACCTTTTTTATACAATGAATCCTTAGGAATAATTACATAGTCTAACAGAGTTTCCGACGTTGCAGTGATTCTAGTAGGCTCATCAATTACTTGTTGCAAATTAAATGACTTTAATACGGAATAGAAATTTTTAACAATTGTGTTTTCATAATCAAGTAAATTTATATTAAAATCTCCCATACAAATAATTTCATCAGCTATAACATACATACCACCAAGACTATCTTCAAACTCATCTAAAAAAAACTTTATTATTCTGTTCATGAGGTTGATAAATATTACCTATAACAAATGATTTTTTATTTATGGTCATCTTAATCCATAACTGTTCCCAAGTGTAATCTTGTTTAGTAACAATTACCTCGCTGCGTATGCTACTTCTAACGTATATACATAAGCCCTTACCATTACAGTTCCTATCAGCCCTAAATAAACAATAGTTATTAATATTTAAAACAGAATTATTAATATAATTTTTTAACCATATTTCGCATAATAAAAAACATCAAAATTATAATAACGACCTGGCATTTGCGAAACCAATTTTCAAAAACTCCATTTTTAAAATCGTAAACAAATTGTTTTATTAAAATAAATTCAAACAATTCAGGTACCACTTATAATTATTATTCTACTAGAAAATTAAAAATATATTTTTATCAGTATCACACTGTGACAAAAACCAAAATATGCGGTTAAATTGCACACATTGACCGGTGCTGCGAAATTAATCCAATTTTAATTTTTATTGACATGCAAATTGCGGTAAAATAATTGAATATTGTGAATTTAGGAAGATGTTAAACAATATTTCTAACAATAAAAAAATAAATATCCACAAATATTACAATAACCAAAGGAGAAAACTCAATATAAATTAAAGTTTACAAAAAGCAGATAGTTCATAAATTAATTTTTACATTGTACATTGTAATTGCGCCGTATTTAAAATAACGACAATTAACCTGATAAAAAAAACAAACAAATTTTAAGAGGAACAAAAGAAAGTAATTTACAAATGATACTCGGATAACACAAAACTTTTTAATAACTCACTCTGTTGCTCCAGGAAGAGCATTCGCATTATCCATTGCAAATATCTTCATGATTTGATCCATGTTATCATATTTTACAAATACGTTGCCATAGCTGGTCCACACTTTTCCATTTTTACCCACCTTTTCCAGTGCAGCTTTTAAAATTTTAGTTTTGTTAGACAATATTGTTCGTCTATTTCATCTATACTGGCAGATTTTTTACACGTTGTTTTCTGTATAATTTCTGTTATTTCTTTTGGGGCAGTTGGAGTCAAAAATAGAGTGCTTATAGAAAAATCTTGAAGCCTTGCTTCACTATAATTTGGTTGAAGATAATCTATCTTCTATCTTTGCAATCTTTAATATTATCCATGCTTCGCGATAAAATCAAATTAAGTCTATGTGCTATACAGTGAACGAAAATTGCATGTTTAAACTTTTCTTTCACTTTAGCTTGAAGACCTCCTAAATGGCCAGTCATTACGACAGCACCATCGCAGCTCTGGGCAACAAGGTTAGAACCACATTCTAAACTTGAAATAATGTCACAAACAATTTTAAACAATGCATCTGCAGTTCGTTCGCTAGTGACGTCCAAAAATCCTAAGAATCGCTCTTGAGAAATGCCATCTAATACATATCGCACAACAATGGATAATTGACTTAAGTTTGCTACATCTGTGGTTTCATCAAGTGCTTTTTTAATTTCACTTTTAATGTGATCCATCACAACGTCGGCAGTGCATTTAATTAAATCATTTTGAATTCTATTTGAGGTACCTTGGAAAGTCGTTGAATCAATAAAATGAATTTTTAGGGTATTATCAAATTTTGCTAAAAAACTTAGGTCCATGTAATTTCCTCGATTGGCGGATCCACTTGCTTCATTATGACCCCTAAAACTTAGTTCATGCTCTCCCAGGAAACAAGTTACATTTCTTAATCGTTGTAAGACGTCCTATTTTTTTACCCTTTCATTGTGAAATTTGTAGCTTATTTGTCTAAATTATGTTCAAGGCGACGTAATAATCGCTGCCTCTCGACCGTATTTCACGTGTGCAAACAGACTGAATCTGTCGCTGCAAAGCAGGGTCAATAACACTAAGCGAAATCACTTGCAAGATGAACAGGTTATTTCAAGAGGCGCTTCCGCTGACAGACCGTTTGTACGTTTACACAATTAATTTTCTCATGGGTGGTGCGTGCGTTTACACACCAATGAATTGTTAGTACATTTACGAAGTTTACGTAATGTTTCAGAGAAAATACAGTACCTAATTTAATATTAATTTCTAGGCATTGTAAACTTAAAAATATTTATTTACTTCTGCTACACCAATGTGGCATCTCGGTTGTCTCCTTTTTCTGTATTTTACTGTTTCGAATGGTATTTCTTGATTTTTAAAATGTGTATTTGTTGCATCAGGATTTGTATCATCCGTACCATTTATTAACTCAGTCATAATAGCTAATTGTCCTTTTTCTAAGTTTTCATAAGTTTCCTTAGTTACTATTTTAGTTGCTTCAGCATAATCGATATTCTGTTTATTTACTTGATTACTAAACACAAAAACCCAAAATAATTGATTGAAAATGAATAATCAATTTTTATTTTAGCTTCAAGGCAATGTTGCATTATTAGATTACAAAATAATAGAAGGTGGCACCATTCAAATAATTGTAACAACAAATCAAACGAATCAAACAATCAAAGAAGAAATTGTTGATATAAAGGAAGAACCAGAAGAAGAAAACGAACACGTTTTAATTGATGTTAATAGCAAATATTATAAGATAGGAGATTTAGTTGATGTATTACTGGATGATACGGGGGCTTGGTATGAAGGTATAGTGAGCCAAATTTTTATGAAAGAAACAGATGAAATAAAAAAATCAGAAGAAAATGTTGTATTTAAGATACAAAGGTGAGTTTAAACAATATATTTCTGACTTTACTTTCATGATTATTATAATTAGTGTACTTAAATACGTTGCAAAATTAAAATAAATAAAAATATTGCTTGACATAAAAAAATGTAAGAGCGATAATCCCACCATTATTTTTTGGACCTAATTACATAACTTTACATACTTTAAAATAAATACATTTGCACAATGAAACAAAAAAAATAGTGATGATAGATGGTAGTTTATCCATCCAATATGACGCACCCTCAGGGGTTCCACAAGGTTCCCATTTGGAACCATTTTTGTTCTAAATAAAATGTAAATGAATACCTATAACCTCTATTTTTATATGTATACTGTCATTGTCAGTTGAACACAAATTACATCATCACTAATATAGTATATAATTGCAAAATTATAGTTACGAAATGCCATTTTGTGTAACTCGTTCATTCGTTACATAAATAATTAATATTTTTTTTTTTAGTGCTCCTCATATATTGCCGACCTTTGAATTTGATGCAAAATTTAAGGAAATTCGTCCAAGATCCTACTATACTTATAAATTTGCAGAACTGACCCCTGGCCTAACAGTTCTAGCAAATTATAATTTGGAGGAAAAAAAATCTCGTGGTTTGTGGTATGTAGAAAATTAGTTCAAAATAAAAAAATCTGATGTGTCCAAGACATGACTTCTCTGTCTAGGTATTACAGGCCTTTTCTGGTTATTTTGTACGACCTATAGTATCATCTTTATAAATGTTTGGGGATGAACTAAATACATACATTTTCTACACACATATATTACTCGAAACATTTTTTTTATATATATTTACACTTTTCCTCAAATTTTTCCATTACGGTTCATTTTAGAGAAATTATGTATAAACCAAAAATATTAAAACGACTCTACAAAGTACCATCCAGATATTCCAACTATGCCCAAAAATGGATTAGTTCACTGCAGGATGGATTAAAGATTAAAATTTAAAATTTGGTATTTTTCTCTTAATCCGTTTTTGAGTTTTCAAAATTCGAAATTCGCACTGTTTCTCAAATATCTCGAATAAGGTTCATTTTAGTAAAATTATATGCATAGGACGAAAATTATAGAGAATAATATTACAAACAACTTTTATTTGAAGAATTTTCTACTGCAAGATATCTATCTATACAGGGTAGCTGTTAAAGATGAAACCAAACCTATAGTGCTTAAACGGTTCAATATACAAAACCAAAAATGTCAGAATTTCAACTAAATATATTTGGGCATATTTTAGCCCAAAAATTATTTTTTTTATAATTTCAAAATTTTAAGCATGGCCACCATCTTGATTTTTTTAAATAGCAACATAGGTCATGTGATATATAATTTAAAAGGGTTTAACACCCTGATTACAAAAATGTATCACACATGGGGTCTAAACCAAAATTGGCTACCTCTTCGTGCGTGCGTTTTCTTTCTCCATACTCAACCATCATGAGTATTTCAATTCTTTCATTTTTGGTCAATTGATTCATTATTACTAATTACTTTGAAATGATTCAATTTAACAAATTATTTTACTATTCTACACCTGTCTCTTGCAACTTAATTAACAATAAATGTTATTGTTATAATATTTGACGTCTTGTGTCAAATGCACAGCCACCTACGCTCCCTATTAATATCATTTCTGTTTTGTTTACACCGCATGTGTGATACATTTTTGTAATCAGGGTGGTTAAACCCTTTCAAATGGTATAGCACATGACCTATGTTGCTATTTAAAAAAATCAAGATGGCGACCATGCTTAAAATTTTGTAATCATAAATAAAATAATTTTTGGGCTAAAATATGCGCAAATATATTTAGTTCAAATTCTAAAATTTTGAGTTTTGTGTGTTGAACCGTTTAAGCACTATAGGTTTGGTTCCATCTTTAACAGCTACCCTGTATATATAAAATTGTTTGTCCTGACTGACTGACTGATTAATCTATCAGCGTACAGCCAAAACTACTGAGCCTAGAAAGCTGAAATTTGGAACATGTTTATTTTATAACGTAAGCATCCGCTAAGAAAGGATTTTTGAAAATTTTAACTTTAAAGGGGGGAAATGGGGGGAGGGAGCTTTTAATGAAACTCTTTGTTCTTTAAAGTTAGAAACATGAAAATTTAAATTACAGCTATTAAGCATAAATAATGACGCGTTTCAGGGTTTTTGGATTTTCACATTTTAAGGGTGGGAAACGGGGGCGAGGTGAAAGTTTGTATGGTGGGACTATCGATTTTTTTTGTTCTCTTTAAAGTTAGAAACTTAAAAATTGGAATTGCAGCTACTGAGTACAAATTAATAATAATGTGTTTCAGGGTTTTTATATTTTTACATCTTAAGGGGGGCAAACGGGGGTGAAAGTTTGTATAAGAGTATATATTTTTTGTTCTCTTTGAACATGAAAATTTAAATTACAGCTACTAAGCATAAATAAATAATGATGTGTTTCAGGGTTTTTCGATTTTCACATTTTAAGGGGGGGAAAAACGGGGGGTGAAAGTTTATATGGGACTATTGATTTTTTTTGTTCCCTTTGAAGTTAGAAACATGAAAATTGGAAGTGCAGCTAATAAGTACAAATTAATAATGACGTATTTTAGGGGTTTTTGGATTTTCACATTTTAAGGGGGGGAACGGGGGGTGAAAGTTTATTTGGAAATATCGATTTTTTAAAGGTAGGAACTTGAAAATTGGAATTGTAGGTTCTCATTATAAATAAATAATGAAATGTTTCAGCGTTTTTTGCATTTTAACATTTTAAGGGAAGAAATAGGGGGTGAAAATTTGTATAGAAGTATACATTTTTTGAACGTTGGAACTTGAAAATTATAATTATTGCATAAACAAATAATGACGTGCTCTGAGGTTTTTAGATATTTGTATGGTAGTATCATAAAAAAAATTAAAAAATAAATAATTATTAAAAATTAATAGAAACTAATAAAAATTAATAGAAATTAATAAAAATTAATAAAAATTAATAAAAATTAATAAAAATTAATAAAAATTAATAAAAATTAATAAAAATTAATAAAAATTAATAAAAATTAATAAAAATTAATAAAAATTAATAAAAATTAATAAAAATTAATAAAAATTAATAAAAATTAATAAAAATTAATAAAAATTAATAAAAATTAATAAAAATTAATAAAAATTAATAAAAATTAATAAAAATTAATAAAAATTAATAAAAATTAATAAAAATTAATAAAAATTAATAAAAATTAATAAAAATTAATAAAAATTAATAAAAATTAATAAAAATTAATAAAAATTAATAAAAATTAATAAAAATTAATAAAAATTAATAAAAATTAATAAAAATTAATAAAAATTAATAAAAATTAATAAAAATTAATAAAAATTAATAAAAATTAATAAAAATTAATAAAAATTAATAAAAATTAATAAAAATTAATAAAAATTAATAAAAATTAATAAAAATTAATAAAAATTAATAAAAATTAATAAAAATTAATAAAAATTAATAAAAATTAATAAAAATTAATAAAAATTAATAAAAATTAATAAAAATTAATAAAAATTAATAAAAATTAATAAAAATTAATAAAAATTAATAAAAATTAATAAAAATTAATAAAAATTAATAAAAATTAATAAAAATTAATAAAAATTAATAAAAATTAATAAAAATTAATAAAAATTAATAAAAATTAATAAAAATTAATAAAAATTAATAAAAATTAATAAAAATTAATAAAAATTAATAAAAATTAATAAAAATTAATAAAAATTAATAAAAATTAATAAAAATTAATAAAAATTAATAAAAATTAATAAAAATTAATAAAAATTACTCAAAATGAATAAAAATTACTCAAAATGAATAAAAATGAGTAAAAATGAATAAAAATGAATAAAAATGAATAAAAATGAATAAAAATGAATAAAAATGAATAAAAATGAATAAAAATGAATAAAAATGAATAAAAATGAATAAAAATGAATAAAAATGAATAAAAATGAATAAAAATGAATAAAAATGAATAAAAATGAATAAAAATGAATAAAAATGAATAAAAATGAATAAAAATGAATAAAAATGAATAAAAATGAATAAAAATGAATAAAAATGAATAAAAATGAATAAAAATGAATAAAAATGAATAAAAATGAATAAAAATGAATAAAAATGAATAAAAATGAATAAAAATGAATAAAAATGAATAAAAATGAATAAAAATGAATAAAAATGAATAAAAATGAATAAAAATGAATAAAAATGAATAAAAATGAATAAAAATGAATAAAAATGAATAAAAATGAATAAAAATGAATAAAAATGAATAAAAATGAATAAAAATGAATAAAAATGAATAAAAATGAATAAAAATAAATAAAAATGAATAAAAATGAATAAAAATGAATAAAAATGAATAAAAATGAATAAAAATGAATAAAAATGAATAAAAATGAATAAAAATGAATAAAAATGAATAAAAATGAATAAAAATGAATAAAAATGAATAAAAATGAATAAAAATGAATAAAAATGAATAAAAATGAATAAAAATGAATAAAAATGAATAAAAATGAATAAAAATGAATAAAAAAATGAATAAAAATTAATAAAAATTAATTAATAAAAATTAATGAATAAAAATGAATGAATAAAAATGAATTAAAAAAGGAATAAAAATTAATAAATATTAATAAAAATTAATAAAAATTAATAAAAATTAATAAAAATTAATAAAAATTAATAAAAATTAATAAAAATTAATAAAAATTAATAAAAATTAATAAAAATTAATAAAAATTAATAAAAATTAATAAAAATTAATAAAAATTAATAAAAATTAATAAAAATTAATAAAAATTAATAAAAATTAATAAAAATTAATAAAAATTAATAAAAATTAATAAAAATTAATAAAAATTAATAAAAATTAATAAAAATTAATAAAAATTAATAAAAATTAATAAAAATTAATAAAAATTAATAAAAATTAATAAAAATAAAGAAAAATAAAGAAAAATGAAGAAAAATGAAGAAAATGAAGAAAAATGAAGAAAAATGAAGAAAAATGAAGAAAAATGAATAAAAATCAATAAAACTAATAGAAATTAATAAAAAAGGAAGTCAAGTATTTTTTTATTAACACGACTACATGCGAGCAAAGTTGCGAGCAAAGTCGCGAGCAAAGCCGCAGTTTTCCATAAAGTAGAAAAACGACCCTCTATATGGGTCATTCTCAGTTGAGACGTAAATCGCTTATTGATAAAACGCGGCACGACAAAAATTTTAAAATTGAAATCAAATTTTACAATGGTTCGATCAAAACAATCATTTCAAACGTGCCTGCAAGACGGTCAGTCAATTTATTGATTTTATCTCGTTTTATAAGATGCCAGGGGAGATACTCATCCAGGGGAGAGACTTAATGTACAGAGTAGAATACTTTGTGATTAGAGAAAGGATTTTAACATTATTTTATGAAAGAAAACAACATTTTATTGAAGTATTAACTTTATTCAGTCATTTTATAATTTTATTTATCAATAATTAATTGATAATAATTAGTCTTTAAAGTTTTCATATCTCCCCTGGATATCGTGTCTTTCCCCTGGCCCTTACA